CTCTGAGTGATATACGATCTTCATAGCAGCATCGGTCAGAGGGTCACTGCTAATCACGGTGCTGCCTGGCTTCCCCAGTGGCCTGCGCCTTCCGACTGAGGAGTGAGCAAAGTGAATCTGTGTCTGGGAGCCAGCCAGCGTGTCTGTAGACGCACCACTTTCTAGCTTATTAGATCCTCTTTGTCACAGTGCTTAATCCTGCTGCCTGATCCTTGTTAGAACACCACCAGAGCGCCGCTCAGCCTTCTAATAAAGGGGATGGGTGAGGGCTTCTAACTCAACGCACTGAAGCGTGCGGCGTCAGGGCGATTGCAGGCTGACTGACAGCGGGGTGAGATGCTTCCTGCATGTTATTACTTAAAAGGGAACCTACCTCCGACAGCTGACAGACGAGCTCTGCTGAGGCAATGGTAACTTGTTGCTAGGCCAATATGAGTCGGGTGTCATCTTTTCACACAGTATAATGGCCAGCTTTACTCTAATTATATTAACCCTCTTCTGAAATTGCTTCATCCCTGACTGGTGCAGAGTGAGGAAAGAGAACCCAGAGACAAATCGCTTGCTGGGAGGATCGCAGCGCTACAGAAACAGGTATTGTGTTATCCACCGGTGACATTAAGTTGGAAAACAAAACAAGCATGCCCTATTACAGCAAGTCCCGGTTCTAACTCCGAAGAGACATTGCTCTGTTTGGCTCGCGCAGTTTCCATCCCTGTCATTTATAATAGTTTCCTCCTTTAAGGTTTGCCCTGGACATTATACCTGGGTTTCATGGTTCTTTGTTAAAAAGAAAGAACAACATCAAACAGGAAGCTTTTTTCTTTGCTTTTTTTCCCCAGTGAACCCTAATCATTCTTTTCTATTAGGCTCCTAAGTTCAGGTAGCTTTAGGAAGCACTTGTGAATTTAATTTAGTAGCATTGCTTAATACTGAAGTAAGCAGATGAGGGTGGGGAGGGTAACCCAGTCATCTGTCCCTTCCTTCCCACTCCCCATCCCAGCTAAAATGTGCGGAAAGGTTGAAAGTGATATAAGTGAAGATGATCATGAATAGCCTGTGGTCCTTTCTGTTAACCCTGAGTTGCAGACATTAGCGTGTGACTCCTTTTCCCTGAAGGGAGTATGTCTAGCTCTCATCCAGTGTCTCCTGTGTGCTCCAGTTAGCAGCCGTCATTAGCAATCTGTGATGCCTCTGCCGTCTCCACTGACAGCACCTAAATAGAGACATCACTTGGGATTGACAGATCTCCAGGGGGTTGCAGGCTTCAGACAAAAGGGCCCAGAGAACATGGCTGACCTTTCTTGGCATTATTCTCCTTCCATGAGTGGCAGTCAGGGACCATAGAACTTTAGTGTATTATTTTCAGAGGATTACCACTGAAAAGACTGCACGCTTAGTAAGATGCTGTTAATAAGTTAACAAGAGGCAGGCTGTGTGCGTTCCAGAGTGGTTTTGCAAGCCATCAGTAGTAGAACACGGGTGCTTCTTTCCTGCAGAAACACGTACCTATTCCTTAAGTTTAAGGAGGGGCCTTTAAAAACAGCTTTGCTTATAACATACCTCCAGTTTCAGATGATCGGGGCAAGCCTTGGGGACTCGGCGGAAGCAAGCTTGTGATGCAGGCTAGAGGAGTCTCTTCCCCTCGTTACCCCAAGCAAGTCTTCCCAGGGCAAATTTGAAATCGCTGAGGCTTGTGTGTGTCATCCTTCCCGGATCCTTTCCCTGCTCCACGTTGTTCTCATGCTTGCCAAAGTCCCTGAAAATACAGTGTAGTAAGAAATGCTCTGTGCCCAAATGTAGCTGATTTGCCGCCTCTTTTCACTCTTCCCAAAGTGGGGGGGAAAAAAAGGTGTGTTCCTGCAGTTCCCCTCTGAACCAGATGTTAAAAACAAAGCTCTTGTGTAAATGATTGAATATCCTGGATGCTTCTTCAACAGAATAAAATTCTACCAACTAGAAGTTCTGACTATATTTCTCATTAGGATAACCGATTTTGCAGAAGAAGCAAAGATATTTAGGGCAAAATACTCACTAACTAGAAAATCCCCTTAGCTTAGGAATTCATTTCTGGCCTATTCCATAAATATGCAGTTTATACTTTCATGGCTTCTGCTGCTTTTTTCTCATCCACTTTGCAATACACATATTTTTTATTTTCTTTTTTTTAAACATTCTTGCTCTGTTACCCAGGCTGGAGTGAAGTGGCGCCATCTCGGCTCACTGCAACCTCTGCCTCCCAGGTTCACGCAGTTCTCCTGCCTCAGCCTCCCGAGTGGCTGGGACTACAGGTGCGCACCTCTGCGCCTGGCTAATTTTTGTATTTTTAGCAGAGGCGGGGTTTTGCCCTGTTGGCCAGACTGCCATGTGGTCTCGAATTCCTGACGTCAACTGATCCACCCACCTCGGCCTCCCAAAGTGCTGGGATTACAGGCATCAGCCACCGCGCCTGGCCAAGAATACACGTATTTTTTCCAACCACCTCAAGTTTATTTTTTTCATAGTTGATTCTATGCTGATGTCTGTGGGCAGAGATTAGAGGCAGGAAGATGACAAGATGTAAGCATAGACTGTTCTCAGGTGAATGTTTTAAGACACGTTGAGCTCCAGCACTGCCATCCCCACCTGATGAGGACATTGCTGCACCGTGGTGACTGTTGTGTGGTTTGTAACCCCTTCCCTTACTAGCCCTGGCTCCTAAGCACGATGGGCAACATACCATTGTGCACATAAAATACGACACGTCAGAAATAGACTTGTTTTTACATGGATGGCTTCTTTCCAGGAATGTATATTATATTCATTTTTAGGAAAAGAGAAAATTGGAGAAAAAAAATCGTGAAGGAATTATATGGAAGACAAGATATATTGAGTGCAGCAAACTAGATTTTAAGAGGAATTAAGAATTATAGAGAAATGTAAACAAGGGGTCAGTTTCATTCTTGGGACTCTAAAAACCCCCTCCCTAAGTAAAGATAAAAACAAAGATCGATGGCAGCCCCTTGCCAACAAGATCAAACCCAGGTGAGATACTCAGCTAAGCAGAATGCATACCACTAAGGGTTTTCATTGGCCCTAGGCAGCTTTCTGACTCATAGTTTAGAGAATCAAGCTCACTGATTTCCCAAGTGACTTAATATCTGACTAACAATGTTTCACCATTAAGATGAGGAAATTGACAATATTGACAATCTTGGAGAGAAATGGATCTGCTTATTTTTGTACTGAGCGCTAACAAATTCTTAGTAGCTTTGGGAAGATGATGAATTACTCTATGTTAATATTTAGTAGTGTCTGTTTTCTTTAAAAAGATTCTGTGAAATTGTAGTCATTTTTCTTTTCTTTGTTTTTCTGAATAGTTGCAAGTTCATAGAACAAAAAGGAAAGATTTAAAGTAACTATTTTGTTTTAAGGAGCAATATTGCATTATCTTCCTCATAAAAAATTTCATTTATCCTTTCATTTCCGAAGCTCAGATCAGCTAGGCAATGATTTGCTTTGTGCTATACTTGCATCCCAGAATATGTTTTCATTGTCCTGAGTTACCATCTGTGAAAACATAGACAGTAGAGCCTGGGAACAGCAACAACATGTAACTTCAGTTGTGTCTTAGAAAGAATCATTGCTGTATCTCTAGGTTCAAACAGTCCCAGGCCATGGACGAGAAGTCTGAAAATTGATATCCTCAGTAGGACTTTTAGGGACAGACCTCCACATACATCCCTGCTGCCTAACTTCTCTTTCTCTGTTTCTCATTTTCATAGGTGAGTGCATTTTAGGAAGTTCTTTCACGCATTGCCTTTTCCATTTTTGAATACATTAAAAAAAAAAAAAAACCAGTCAACTGGTCGTCAACAGAGCATATCCAGATAAGGGGTGCTTGCTGGCTTTTTTAGGCTACCTTCATTAACTCAGCCTTATCTAGATTGATATGTAACCTGATAGCCTCACCAAACACTGTAGAAGGAGTATGAGATTGACCGGGTGTGGTGGCTCACGCCTGTAATCCCAGCACTTTGGGAGGCCGAGACAGGCGGTTCACGAGGTCAGGAGATCAAGACCATCCTGGCTAACATGGTGAAACCCCGTCTGTACTAAAAAAATACAAAAAATTAGCCGGGCGTGATGGCGGGCACCTGTAGTCCCAGCTACTCAGGAGGCTGAGGCAGGAGAATGGCGTGAACCCGGGAGGCGGAGCTTGCAGTGAGCCAAGATCACGCCACTGCACTCCAGCCTGGGCAACAGAACGAGACTCCATCTCAAAAAAAATAAAAATAAAAAATAAAAAATAAGGAATATGAGATTGAGCATCAGCTTGAAGTCTTCACGCTGGCTTTTTCATCTTGGGCATGTTAGTTAATTTCCTTAAGTTTCCATTTCTTTACCTACAAAGTAATATTAGTATCTGACCTTACAGATTGCTGGAGAATGAAATGAGGAATGATTTTAAAAGGTCATTAGTCTTTAACACTGCCATGTTAATGAGATTCATTTAGGGCTGATTGCGAGATGTGCTTATACTCTTATACTTGAGTGACAACAATTTGACTTGGGTAACATTCCTGTCTTTCTCCATTCATACGGTGTCTTGATTGATGAAAAAAGTGGTGTTGATCAGATTGGGTCCAGATCAGCCAGGACAAGGCGTGATGCATACTGACATTGTCAAGATAGAATTTCAAGTGGTTTTCATATTATCACTTGTCTTAATCTTGAACAGGTCATTTTTGTCTCTGCAGCAAATATCTCCTTCCCTCCGCTCTGCTTCCCTTTTCCATCTGTCTTCTTTCTTCCTTTCTTTGTTATTAATTTCTTGGGCCAAGGTACTGTCATGACTGTGTACCTGTGATGACTCAGGTTAAGAAATTTAAAAGACATCAAATGATCCGAGAGGTACTTAGGGTTTGATTTAGGGTACTTAGGCTGTGTTTACTGAGAAGGACTTCTTAGACCTGCTCCGTATTGGATGAAGTGACCTTCACTTTTTTTTTTTTTTCCTCCAGGAAACTTGGATTTAACTGGTCAGAAGCAGGTATTCAAAGCAGAGAACAATCCCTGGGTGACCCCCATTGCAGACCAGTTCCAGCTTGGTGTGTCCCATGTGTTTGAGTATATCCATTCTGAGACATACAAATAGTAAGTAGACTCTGATTTTCTGAAATAGTAGACTGTGATTTTATAGTATTTATAATTATGTCTTTAAAAATATGTGACAGTATCCTATTGGTGGCAGTTAACACTTAGCATTTTAAAATGTTCTATTAAAAGCTGCATGTTGGCCAGGTGTGGTATGGCTCACACCTGTAATCCTAGCATTTGGGGAAGTCGAGACTGAAGGATTGCTTGAGCCCAGGAGTTTGAGACCAGCCTGGGCAACATAGCAAGACCCCATCTCTACAAAAGAAAAAGAAATTATCCAGGCATGATAGTGCCTGCTTGTCATTGTAGCTATTCTGGAGAATCACTTGAGCCCAGGAGATTGAGGCTGCACTGAGCCGTGGTCATGCCCTGCACTCGAGCCTGGGTGAGAGAGCAAGACCCTTTCTCAAAAGAAAAAAACAAAAACAAGAAAAACAGCATGTGGTCATTGTCTCTACTTGTAAATTGTTTTTTATTGACATTTTCAAGGGAATTTTTACCGATTTTCTTTAGAGAATTTTTGAGGTATTAAATTAGTTGAATGTTCATGGCACTAAGGAAATTCACCATTCAGATGAGAACATATTTTTTTCTTCTGTGAATGCAAAGAATTACAAGTGTTCTGAACAAAATTGTTAAGCAGTTTATTTATAAAATCAGTAGAGAGTACTAGCAATGCGTCATTCTATTACAGAGAAGCTTTTACTCTAGTGAGATGATAATCTCTTAGAGAAAAGGAAAAGGCAGGAGAGGAAGCGGAATCTGCCAGCTTAAAGTCACAGCACCAAAATACCTCAAGTCCTCACTCCAGGTGAAAGGAGTCTGTGCAAAACTGTCCCAAAAACCTCACCATTCCTGCTTCTTTCTTCCTCCATGTGTCAAGGCTGAAAGGAATTCTGCCACTTCCACGTGCTTCTGTTGTTATATCTACCATCATTATTTTCCTACCTTATCCCAGTCCCCAGCTACAAAACAAACTGTCATTTATCACAATGGTTGCCTGACCCCAAATGCTGAGATCTAGTATAATTTTAAGCATCTACAAAAAAGACAAAAACATCCATAGTTAAATGTAATCTGTTTTTGTTTCCAGCATCAACTTATAAAATTTATTTTTAATTAATTAATTTATTTTTTTAAGAGACAGAATCCCACTGTATTGCTAGACTGGAATGCAGTGGCACAGTCACAGCTCACTGCAGCCTCAAGCACCTGGGCTCAGGCAATCCTTCCACCTCAGCCTTTCAAGTAGCTGGGACTACAGGCACATACCACCATGCCCAGCTAATTTTTTAATTTTTGCAGAGACGGAGCCTCCCTATGTTGCCCAGGCTGGTCTCAAACTCCTGGTGTCAAGCAGTCCTACTGCTTTGGTCTTCCAAAGTGCTGGGATTACAGTCATAAGCCACCATGTCCAGCCTGGCACCAACCTTTGGGAATGTCCCAACTATTGGAAGAAAGATAGAAGATTGCTAAAGGTCACATTTAGTTAAGAGTTTCGTTTCTTTTTTTTTTTTTCTTGGTATCAGAAGTATGTCCCACACTCAATAAAACCCTGTGAATCTGTGCCAGGCCAGTGGGTCAGGATTGATTGGCAGGGCAGAGCCTCTGCCCAGAAATGACTGGCTGCGTTCCTGTAGTCTTGCAGCCTGAGCACCATGCTCCTGGTCAGACATTGCTGTGGCCATGTTTCCACCAGACAGAAACAGAGAAGACAAGCTGTAAAGAATAATGGCCTGCCTGAGCACGGTGGCTCACGTCTGCAACCCCAACACTCTGGGAAGCCAAGGCGGATCACCTGAGGTCAGGAGTTCGAGGTCAGCCTGGCCAACACGGTGAAACTAAAAATTCAAAAATTAACTGGGCATGGCGGAGGGGCGCCTGTAATCCTAGCTACTCAGGAGGCTGAGGCACAAGAATTGCTTGAGCCAGGGAGGCAGAGGTTGCAGTGAGCCGAGATTGTGCCACTGCACTCCAGCCTGGGTGACAGAGCGAGATTCCATCCCCAAAAAAAGAAAAGAAAAATGAACAATCGCCTTAAAACGAAATATACTAAAATTGCCAAAATGATACCGTATCCTCCTATATAAAAGCAATGTAAAGCATGGTTTAGATTATTTTAGACAATACTGTGACACTTACAATATAAGTCTAAAGACTTACCTTAAGGATAAAATGTGAGATAGGTATAGGATGTGTATTAATTCTTTCATAAGCCATATAGATATGTACAGTTATTACAGATTCAATCTTTTTTAAAAAAATATGAATATAGCTCACCCTTGGAAATTAGTTAATTATGAAAATGTGTGAAAATATAGTCACAAATTAGCAGATGATTGTTTATCTTGTTCCTTTTAAATTGTTAATCATTCCTATCATGAGTTTTAGAGGGCTCTAATTTTTTCTTAGTATATGGGAAGCTATTTAGAGCTTGGTTTGTACAGTATCTTGAAAAAAGTTATTCTATATATGATAGTATACAGAAAAATACATGAACAAACTCCTAGCCATCTGGAATTAGAGGAAATTCTCTATTATTCTGGTTAACAATTTTTAATTTTCAATAGATGAGCTTATAATTTACAGAGGATGAGAACACATCGCATATGAAAGTGCTTTTAATTTTAAAAGGTTAAATTGTGAGTTTATGGATTTTGTATTACCTCAAAGTAATTATTAAGCAATTAATCACCATTCTGCACTGTTACAGACTGTTTTAATTTATTTGAACGTGGTTAGGATTCTGGATAAATGAGAGGTATTATAACATAATTGGTGTATCTGTTTTTATGTCTGTTATTAGCATCCTATTTTGGGGAGTTGGCGTAGTCTAAGCATTGTGTCTACTAACTTTTGCTGTTTCATTTCCTCATGGAGACTTGGATTACTTTTTACGCAGTTAAGTCAACATTCAAAAGCTTCGGTAGGCTGGGTGCAGTGGCTCACGCCTATGATCCCAGCACTTTGGGGTGAATCATGGGGAGATTCACCATGAGGTGCGTAAATCAGTTGAGGTCAGGAGTTCAAGACCAGCCTTGCCAACATGGTGAAACGCCATTTCTATTCAAATTACAAAAATTAGCTGAGTGTAGTGGTGGGCACCTGTAATCCCAGCTACTAGGGAGGCTGAGGCAGGAGAATCGCTTGAACCCAGGAGGTGGAGGTTGCAGTGAGTTGAGATGGCGCCACTGCACTCCAGCCTGGGTGACATAGTGAAACTGTGTTTCAAAAAAAAGAAGCAGAAGCTGCAGTAAGCATAGGAGAGCCATTGCCCCCTTTCCACTGGGACCAGTTGGTTCCATAATGGCTGCTTTTAGGGGCATCGACATGATCCTCTGCTGGGAGGTCACAAGGGACATGAGCTCTGCTAGGGTGGGGGCCTGCTGTGAGTTCTCTTCTCTCCTCCTTGGGAAGGAGAAGAGGGTTGGTTACTTTGTGTATTTGAGTTTTTTGGCCTTCTCTCATTCTCCTGTAGTAGCTGTTGTCATCCCTTTGTCAAACATACTAGCCCAAAAATGGACTGTTAGCCGATAAGACAATAAGTCAAACTTTTAGTCATTAAAAAAATAATAATAACTGTACAAAAATGTCACTGCTGTGTTTCACCAGATTAACACACACTGATTTTCAAAATTAAGGGCCTCCTTTATATGAACAGATCTGTACTATATTAGTATATCCTCATATAATTAGAACCCAACTCACCTCTTGGTTTGAAGCAGCCATTTCATAATTAGGGAATTTTTAATATCCTATCTGAAAAATATTATGCAAATTAGCAGGTACTTGGTGACTTTAAAAAAATGTTTTATATGTGGCAGCCTTCGAGGGGAGGCAGTTTATTCATGATACTCATAGTTTTTTTAAAAAAGCAAATTTCACATTCATTGCCATAGTTTTTGATCTTCTATTCTAAAACTTATAGTTCCTACTTTTCACTTCTTTGTCTCTGTTGTTTAAGCCGCGTACTTCCCCTTTATTAAAGGCAATCCTTATCTATTTATCAGTGTCTGTGTGTTGCGGTTGTGTATTTATCTGTCTATCTTTAGACTACCATTGAAAGCATACTTTTGGTTTTGGCACTTAAAATGCCTGTGAACCTCCTCCTCCTTCCCCCACCCCAACCTCTTTTTTCTAACCAGTTAACCCATTACCTAAATGAGAGGAATAAAGAATGAAAAAACTTACCGTAATGTTTTCTTTTCATTCATGTCTGTGGTCAACGTTCACAGTGACCTTCCTCGGGGTACATCCTCAAGTTCCTCTGAGTCTAGGGCAGAGAAGATGGATGATCTGATTTATAGGCTCTAATGGACTCCAAGGGGAGACATGGATGCTTGAAACAAAACAATGAATTCGTGTGTCAGCAGAATTAAAATACTTGGAGATGACTTAGCTTCATGAAGACGGGAATTTGTTCCGTTAAGCAGGAGGGGTGTGGCTGGTAGGATGTTGAGGTACAGTACTTCAGAGGTGGCTCTTTGGAAGTGACATTTTGGGGCATTAATCACGGCCCCTTCATCGTGTCTCAGGTGGAAGCTGCTCTCTGTTCATCTTTCATGCCTTCCACAGGGGAACCTGTTGGCTGGTGTCATTGAGTTGCTGGTTAACATAAAATGACGTGCTTGGTTGGGTGTTTGAAGCTCACATCCTACGCACATCATTATGTTTTTAAACTGTTGCTGAGTTATACAATCATGTGTTAACTCTTTATTTGGTGGTGGTTGTCTCTTTGACCTCTTTTATTTCTGTGAAGCAGAATTATGATGGAATACTCACCACTTGTTAAGTTTCCAGAAGGTAGATTTTTCTCCCCCTAGGAGCGACAGTCAGGTTGAAGTCAGCACCCTTGACAAGATTCTTTGTGAAAGGGGGTAACTCACACTTTCCACATTTCTATCAAGGAACGTGGATAGCAAGTGCAAGCCATTTTAAAAGCTGACAGGTAAACTCTTGTCAACAAGTTAACAAAAGAAGAGGTTTGACAAATGTTA